ACTCTGAAAAGTACAATTTATCCAAAAAGTTACTCAAGTAAATGTAACTGAGTAAATGTAACTAGTTACTACCCATCTCTGGTCTCATGTAGGCACATGTTACATGCACAAACAGTGTGGGCTGCAGATTTGAGCTGTGTGGTTTTACACAGATCCAACACACCAAGACGAGAGATGCAGTGACCTGTTGATCAGTCGCCAGAGGCTTTTATTGCGATACTGAGCAAGAAGGAACTTACTTTACAGGTTGGCTTTACCTGCTCCACTAACCTGCCTGCAGCCTCCTCCTGCCGAAACTTAACTTAACTTAGCTTAACTGTAACTTAGCATAACTTAATGTTAAACTGCAATGTTAAATCAACTTAACAACTGATCAAATGACCATGTGTAAAGTAAAAAAATGTCACTTGAAGTGACAAACCGTAGACTGTATAAAAATATGGACGTAGTCACCTGCTCCTCATAAACCCATTGGTTTATGAGGAGCAGGTTTGAAACTCAAAGTAGGTGGCTCTGGCTGTTGCCATCTTGGCAGTGCCTGACTCCGCTAACTCCCGGCCAATCAAGAATGGGCAAAGAGGCGGGCCAAATGATGTCTGGTTCGCTCGAAGCTGCTAAGGTAGCTAAGGCTAACAAGCTAGGCTAACAAGCTATGCTACTTTGGCTAGCCCTGTGGTGTTGGCTGCTCCCGCTCATGCTCCCGCTTGGTGCCAGCTCCCTCACGAAACAAAATATCCAAAAGGCACAAACATGGCTGAGAGGTCAGGTTCAATGACTTGCAAATTAGCTGAGATGAAGCCTACTAGACAGCCAGGGGCTAGTTAGCCACCCGTGAGAGCGCCACCTGTCACTCAAAGTGACCACGCCCTTAATTATGCGCAACTTTAAGCCTTAATAAAATTTAAACAGTTCATGCAATGACTCACACCATATACACGTAAATGCAACCTGAAGCGTATTTAAGTCTATTTTCTTCTTGCACAGAGCTCTCAATATGGAAGTGGCTGAACCAGCTGCTAACAGCTTATGGTGCTAACAGCCCAAACAGTGCTGACAACGGCTACAGTGCTGACAGAGCTGTTGACGTTAGCCAGGGGGCAACAGGAAAGTGTGCATTATGCTCACGACGAACCCATCCTGCCACTATAGGTCTGGATGGCATTATCAGTGGTAATTGCTCTATGAGCACAGTGCAGAATGACGGCGATTAGCTAGCCTTTAGAGAATTTTATTTTTTGACATAATATTTTGTGGATATGATTCTGCTAGAGTCTGTGACTGAGATGTTCTGTGAAATAACAGCAGATAATTGATAGCTAATAGTTTGTAAGGTTGAAATGAATTAATGAAAATAAAGCGGAACCCCTGTGCCTATGGCTACTTGCATCTCAGCATATAATGCAACCGGCTGTGTCCATTGAAGCATAGGTCACGGTGGACCTCACTGTAATACAACTGCCTTACAGCACAACATTTTTTTTATGTCAGCCTTCATGCTGAGTTATATCTTGCTGTTGGCTTGGTATTATGATGACAGAACATTACTAGGAAATGTTGCTAACTTCAGGTCTCCAAGCGAAAATGTTTACAACCCGGTACTAAAAAGTTGACCTTGTTTTACCATCATCATTTTACAGTTATTAATTTTACACAGCCACAAAGAGATACAATGCTTCATTGCTATGCAGCCCTCAGAAAATAGATGGCATACTTTAGAGTCATTTCCTGTATTTGTGTCACAGACGTTTCACCACTGCCCCTCCCCTTAGGAGACTAGCAGCAGGTCCTGAGTCTATTTACTTTAATGGGAGAAGTGAAAGTAAGCATAGATTAAGACCGATTCTTTTGCTACAGAGTCATTTCAGTGAATACAGGACCTATTTTTAACACACATATCTTCTGAACTTTCTGACACTAAATAACATTTTTTAGATGAACAAATCAGGGGAAAATTAGCTTTGCTCCAGACCTGTCTCTGTCTCAGCAACACACTCTCCTGAGTTCTGGTAACAACTGATATGATCTAACTTTCTCATTCCTAGGTCATCATATACCGATGCTTTGTCATGCCCCCTCAGCATCTCATACTGACACACAGGCCACCCTTCAGCATCTGTATGTAACTTACAATCAACTACTGGGTGAAACACATCATAAAGGTGGATTTATACTTGTTCGTCAGCTCTATGCAGAGCCGACACACATGGCCTACACATGTGGCCTACACCATTATGAGCATTTACCCTTGTGCGGCAGTGTGTCTGTGTCACTCTGCAGTTACATCAACAAAACACTAGTTGGTGGTGGGGTTTCTGTGAAGTGCTGTAAAGTTTAGTTGATTCAAAACACACATTAAACATGGCTTAATAGCGACAATTTCAATTACAAGAACACAAATTGGCTTTCACATTGTATAAATTAGCTTAGTGGCTAGCGGACTTTTCCTCTATTCATATGAAGCCAGGGACAACAGCAACATTTAACAAACTAATGTTACAAAATTCGGCTACATTACAACTCACATGGGTCACTGACAAAACAACTGTCTTATACTAAACACCTTTTCCAGACAAATACAACATGCTAATGTTATTAGCAAAAGCCTATGGCATTTTACATTGTATAAATTAGCCTAGCTTTTACTGGAGATTTCCTCTACTCGTATGAAGCCAGGATAAATCACACACAAGACTTAAAATGCTATTTTGTGGAGTCTTTACGGTCTTCACAATTAACTGTCAAAGTTCACTTGGTCTCACACCAGAAATGAACATTGATCTTCTCTGGGAAGATTGCCTGTTTTTTTTTTTTCAACCCATCAACCGCCCCAACATGCCTCCTAACACAGACTTTCACTGTTAAAACTGATGACTTTTTTTTATTCCCGTCGGCACATTGGTCATAATCACAGCCTTCCTGATTATGCAGGCTAAATAGGAATTCTGGTGCATTACTTTTTGTAGGTATACAAATGAAGAGTGCATGAGAACAGCCTGTATGAGTACCTAAAACTGTACTCAAGTAAACGTTACTTTCTACCTCTGTTTACCAGTGAACAAAATAATGGTAATGAGAACTATATGCTGGTCTCTCGAAACCAGTATTCACAAAGTTAATGAGATCTTGCTGTAGCTCCCACACAGTAAAGACAGCAGTCTTTCATGTGTGCTGAGCTCCAGCTAACAAGCTCTGCTGCAGCACCTGTAGGTGTGTGTGTGTGTGTGTCGTCAGGTTGGGACTGTGTGAGGGCTGTCATCAGGCCCCGCGTGGATCCTACAGGAGGTAATGTAATGACCCTCTGCTGCCGTGCCCCTCTTCCCAACTCAAGACACACACCAGCCATCACAGAGCTATGCCTCACCTCGTCTACCTTCCTCCTTCACACACACACACACACACACACACACACACACACACACACACACACACACGCTCACACTGATAAAAAACTAGGTTATCATAGCAGTTATTTCTGCTGCAGGGCATATAGCTTACAAAGCAGAAGAACCTGTTTCAAGGAATCTCAGGACAAACTGAGACAAACGCACACACACAATAAAGAGCACAATAACAGAAATTAAATTAGAAACCTCAAACAGTTCTTTAGTGCTCCGCGCACAGTGTGTGTCTTCAGGCCACAAATGTTAACACAATAATACATCATGTACTGTAATTTAAACACAGGACAGTCTTACATGGAAAGGTCAATGTGGCATAATAAGGCCAACATGACTTTTTCCTAAAACTGTACTCCTGACATTTCCAGGCATTTGACTGCTCTTGAATGAATATTATTACAGCCTCTTTGTACAGTATGCTGAAAGTGCTTCCATTAAAAGAGCAAATTGTAATCAAATGTCTTAAAAAAGAAAAGAAACTAGAAGAAAAAAAAGAATCACTTGGACGAAAGCCTGCCCCCACAAAGAGCACACGCATATTACTCATCCCCCACAGAGCCGCCTTGCTCTAGTGTATTGTGGGAGGACTGGGGTGGGCGGCTGTGCAGGGGATTGGGAGCCGCGTTATAAGACTACTCTACATGACTTCAGATTGCATGGAAGGTATCAACATAATGTTTCCTCGCCGTCCCTTCGCTTTATGTGGCTCCTGTTTCAGCCCAGTCTGTATATGTGTGTGTGTGTGTGTTTATACTGTATGCACTTCAAAACTAATCAGGAAAGCCAGTGTGGTGGAACCCAGACATCTTGTTTGTTTATCCTGCGAGATTTACCCGCACTTCACCTTCAGAGCCACACACACACACACACACACACACATACCGAGTGAAGGTCTTGTGCTTGTCCCAGGTGCAGAGAAATCTGTGAAGCAGCATGTGGCTTGTCCCAGTTCCTCTACAGTACCTGTGTGCCTTTGTGTGTGTGTGTGTGTGTGTGTGTGCGTGCGTGTGTGTGTGTGTGATTGCGTATTGCGACAAGACTGACCCATTTGAATCTTAATACAGGCGCTCACCAATGCATTCCTGAAACTAGTTCAACATGTAGGCTAGGCAGCCTTGTCACAAAGCAGCTGGAGTGACGGACACTGATTGATGCGGAGGGGTCAAAGGGCACGGGGGGAGCACATCCAGGAAAATGAGATTTTAAAGCAAAAAAAAAAAAAAAGTTGAATGGAAAAAAGTGTTGTTTTATGTGTGATTCTGAACGGCGGGGGAGGTCATGCTGTCAGGAAACACCAAATGCTCAGATGGGTGCTGAGGAGATGAACAGGCCTACACATTCTGCGTCCTGCCTTTTTCCAGTTTTGACAGAGAGGGGAAGAAGTCCGTGTTGAAGTCATTTCAAAGCAGTGCACGTCTAATCTGTGTCCTGACCAAAGCAGGTGTGTGTGAGAGGGAGAAGGAGAAAGCAAACAGAGACAGAGAGGGGGGGGGGGGGGGGGGGGGGGGGGGGGGGGGGGGGGGGGGGGGGGGGGGGGGGGGGGGGGAGTGGAGAGAGGGAGGGAGATACAGAGGGTGAGACAGAGAAGCAAACAGAGAGGAGAGAGAGGGAGGATTGTTTCTTTCTCTGGATGCCAGCAGCAGCAACAGCAGCAGCAGCACCTCATCCGGACTAGAGGTGACCGGGGCTGGGGGTGAAGGTGTGTGTGTGCGTGCGTGTGTGTGTTGCGCGTGTGGAGAGACTGCAGGAGCGGGAGAGGCTCAACTTGCTCCCCTCTCCGCCGCCGCTCTGCCCTCTCTGTGTGCGCCGCGGCTCCTCTCCTCCTGTTCTCCGGGACACGGGCAGGCATCTGGCGTGGTGAGATGTGAAGAGGCTTGAAGTATGGCATGCAAAGATGGTTTCTGCCAAGACGAAGGAGACGGTGACAGCGATGTGCCCCGCTTTTATTCGGACCCTCTTCTACTTTTTCTGTTTGGCGACTTGGTGAGTCCCACAGTGTCTCTGTCCGCGGTGCTGAAAACCTGCTCGGCTCACACTAACGAGGTGTCTCTAGCGCTCAAGTTATGCTACCCTGATTCTTTTTATTTCTTTCTAGTGTAAAGAAAATCTCTGGACAGACAAAGAAGGATGAAAGGATATACCCGGAGAATTTTACGCGCATTTTAGACCGACTTCTGGACGGCTATGACAACAGGCTACGACCCGGATTTGGAGGTATGTAGAACAAAATACCATTTTTATTCATTATTAAGGCAAAAGAGTAGGACAGTCATCACAGTGACACAGTTAACATCTTCCAATTAAAAGTAGGAGGATGCTATTTTTTTGTGCCAGAGGTGAAACCCTAACCACTTAACAACTCACAAAACTCAACGATTTTTAAGGGAGTCTGGTGCTGGGTCACAAATTTGGGTGTTACAAGTGTAATAAGGTAGCTGCAGACCCACCATTAAGTACCACATACACCGTATCTGTCAAGTCAGTTTCACCCACAGTAATTATGTCACATCTGAAATACACTAAATCCTCCTAATAAAAAGGGAGTTTTTTATTTGACTTTTTTTGTGCCATAATAGACACCACCATAAAGTGCAATAGGATAGCCTAACCATAAAGCCATTATTGAGCCCTGTAGGTCTCTTTGTGTAGCCTTAAAACACAAATATGCCTCAAATTGTTTTATGATTTTTGGCACGCTTAAACAGGAGAAAAGATGAAGAAACTTGACAGTGGAGACATAGCATATAAGTGGGAACATTGCAGCTACAATGTCCTATTTCTCTTTACCTCCCTCAGTGTAGGAGACCTGTATTATATGGAACATGTTGCTCCATGGTCCAGTGTGTCACAACACACGCAATGTTTCAGACTTCCCCCTGTAAGCCTGGCACTTCGGCCGCCAGAAGAGGGGCCTGTATAAGCTCGCATGATAAAGCGACTGTAGTTATATAACCGTGTGTATGTTGCGGGACAAACGCTTAATGCACAAGTTCAAGTGCTAAAAGTACGGATTTGGTGTTTTTCTGTACATCGTGTCTCAAACCACGGTTAAGAAGCAGCGTTATTTGGTTTACAGGGCAAAGCAGACAGATAGCCATGCACACTGTAGATTTGCTTATCCCTGCACTTATAAACAATGCCTGTACCGTCAGCCTCTACATTCATTCACTGAGGGAAAAAAATCAAACAGGATTATGTTTTTACATCTTTTAAGCTTTTTTTTCACTTCCATTATGCATAAGGCACTAGCTCTGGATAAGCTATTGCGTGTCTTTTGGGCTGCCTGATGTAAATGTGTGTAAATGTGAACAAGACTGGTGTCTCTCTGAGGCTGGACCATGGATGGATTATTGAACCCAGGGGCCCAAAGTGTCAGGGCCCACCTTGGCCTTCACCTGCAAAATGTCACTCAAAATGACACAACCAGGAAGAGACTCAAAATGACCACAAAGAGACACAAAAAGGTCACAAAGAGATATAAGGAACTGCAAAGAGACATAAAATAACTACAAAGAGAGACAAAACCACCAAAGAAGACACAAATTTACCTCAAAGCTAAGGTGTAAATTCCACTGGGGACAGGGGGACATGTCTCTTTTCAGAATTTGTGTGCCGCCCACTTTAAAAAAACATATTATTTTAGCTACAAAAATCATGCTTAATACATTACTGTTTGGCAAGATTCTAATTGAGCTGTTCATTTTACTCCGATATACAGAGAAGAATATTTAGTATTATTTTCTGGATTTTGTTACTGTAGTGCCTAAATGTATGTAGAGCTGCAGGAAATTGGATTCAAATCACAAATTTTTAAGTGCCCCCCCTCAAATCAAAGTTATGCTCTTGCCTCAAAGACACAAAATGACTACGTAAGGACACAAGACCACAAAAGATGCACAACTACAAAGACATGCAAAGCAACAACAACAAAAAAAAAAAATCTGTGGGTCTCGGAGGAGAGGTAGTGGGTATGCGTATCTTAGCCCAGGGGCCTATTGTCTCATAATCCGCCCATGGGCTGGATTGTGACATGGAAGGATTTAAAACAGGAAACTAAACGCAACACTTGTTGTCTGTTTCGTTGACTCAATAGGTCCCGTGACTGAGGTCAAGACCGACATATATGTAACAAGTTTTGGGCCTGTCTCAGATGTTGAAATGGTATGTACCCACACTTAAAATGCTGAAAACATTTAAAAACATGTTGATTGATGTGTTTGTTGTGTTAATACTAAATTTACACAACTTTGTTCCGAATCTGGTCATTTCAGGACAGCACAGGCAAAGCCTCGCTACTTTATACGTGGGTGGAAAACAAGATGTTTTACTTTGCAGACTTTCTTCCAGATGAATGTAGATAATCATGAAGCAACATCATCCCACCTGCCTACCTACCTGACCTCAGATGTTTGTCTTGAATTTGCCAATATCCCTGTCTTAGGAGTACACAATGGACGTGTTCTTCCGGCAGACGTGGGTGGACCGCAGGTTAATGTATGAGGGCCCAATAGAGATTTTGAGGCTGAACAACCTGATGGTGACTAAAGTGTGGACCCCAGACACCTTCTTCAGGAATGGCAAAAAGTCAGTCGCTCACAACATGACGGCCCCCAACAAGCTTTTCCGCATCATGAAGAATGGCACCATTCTGTACACCATGAGGTATTTATGCATGCTCCATTACCACAATCTATTAACATTCAACACAAAAATGATAAAGCCAAAACTCTAGCCAAACCTTGATCAAATGATTTTATCTACAAACCATGTGTCTGTTTCCTACTATATCAAAAATGGAGACAGACAATTTTTCACCTCCCCCTAAAGTTTCCAAGTGGTATTGTTGGCACTGCTGTCGCAAAGACAACCAGATCGGTTTTGCTTTGGTTGTTCCGCCAGCCACCATTTCAGCCTCTGGGGATAGTAACTGCAAATAACTTACTCTCATTCTTTACTGAGGATAGCTACCGATAGCTACCGGGGAAAATAAAAGCGCTATCCTCTGCCTATTTTGGTTGCACAATGGTTGACACACTTCCTTAGTGCAATAAATCGAGCCTTCATTTTTGGAGATCATACCCAGTGACAGACAGAATTGAACTGTGAAAACAAGACTTAAAGGGAAACAACTGAAATGCAGATGATGTCATTATTCTATAGACATTACATCATGCAATCAATGTTTACTTCACAGTGCAACATATCATAATACAATAGTCCATACATTGTGAATCAGCAGCCCAGAAATGGCATTGTCACTTCATGTACTTCAGCTACTTACTATTAATTTGCGTATTTAACGTGAAGTTATGTAAGTTAGGTTCAGGCAAGTTTAGGAAAAGAAATATGGTAGGATGCCTTCATGTTAGGTAGCCCACTCAACATAAAGTTATGTAGGTTAGGTTTAGGCAAGTAAATTTACGGGGATTTAGTTTAGGAAAAGAATCATGGTGACGACATACCTTGAAATAACGGTAAAAAGGTTCAGTTGGTTTTACATGGTCCCCATACACCGATCCCCAAACTGGGGAAAGTCCTGTGTTTGTTTGACCTGTCCATCACCCAAACCGGCCTTCTTACACAGACTTTTGGTCTTTATACGACTTCTCTCTTAAGTCTCGCCAGCACATTGGTCATGTGACTGCAGTCTTCCCAGTGCATGAGTTATACACAAATTCTACTGTATTACGTTTTGTAGAAGTGTATATGAACAGTGCATGAGAAGTCTATTTCCACTTATACATATGTCAGTTTATGATGGGAGGATAGACTCTTCACATAATTTGTATTCTATATTTTGGTGTTTGTGCTAATTTAAAAAATATAGTTGGAGAAGAGAGATGACAGACTTTGTTTGATTTAAAGCAATTAAACAGATTTGCTGTGAAATCAGACTCAGTGGCTCATAATGTGTAAACAGTGCAGAGCTGTGTGGAGGCAGTGCAGAGGCTGCCAAACTTCTACATCTTAACTTCAGTATAACAGTCACATAACTGCTCCTTCGCCTTTTAGTGAAAATGATTTGGTGTAAATAAATCACTGGCCTTTTCAAGTGTTAACCTACCTGTTTCTCCACCGATATGTATTGAAATCAGATGAGTCAACCGTAGGCTCTTCAACCAATCTCCATGATTTTCCCACCTTCAGCGCTAAGTGGATAGTAACTTTAAGTGTTGATTAAGTGTGATTCTTGCACACATTCTTGATGCATGTCTGTGTTTGAGAGAGTATGTCTATTTGGTCCTTTATTGAGCAACTCTTCTCTGCAACAGGTTGACTATCAGTGCTGAATGTCCCATGAAGCTTGTGGACTTCCCCATGGATGGACATGCGTGTCCTCTCAAGTTTGGAAGCTGTAAGTCCTTTATGTGTGTATGTGTGTGTGTGTGTGTGTGTGTGTGTGTGTGTTTTACTCCTTTCATTGTGAGCTGGGTCTCTACATGGCAGGTTAGGTAACCACCAACCAGATGTTTGCTGATTTGCTCTGACAGGACAATATGCAGTTAACCAGCTATGCGCCGGCAACTAACTGGTGGCCACTAACACATCTACAGTATGTTGCCCCAAATACTACCACAGTGCTTCTGAAAAAGTAAAATAAAGACCCAAGAACACATAAATAGTTGCAGCCTGACCTCTGACCCCTCAACAGAATCCCATAAATGTAGCAGTCATGCATGTTTTCATTTTCATGTTGGAAAAGATGGTGTTTACAGCGTGTAAATGGCATTTCATCAATGAATCATTACCTCATCCACCACTTTGTACCTGAGTTATGATGATAGTAGCTGTAAACACATAAACCCATTCCTGAGAAGCCTCTCCTGGCCTCTACATTGCATTTAGCATTTTGTGCCCCCGGGTGTTGTTTCACACGAGACCCACCAGATTACTTTCCATTACTAAACCAGAGGCAATGCAATTTGCAAGTAATACACCGCAGGTAGTTTCAGTAGAGTTTTGACTTCAGTTTAGTTTACTCAGAGTGTGTTTTTGTCTGTTTGTTTGTTTTTGGTTCCCAAAAGCTGTTTTCTACGGAAGCCCCGAGAGGCAAGATGAAAGAAACATTTTCTGCATTTATCTTGATTTTATCTTTTATGTAAGCAGATATATCCAAAACATTTTTCACCTTGCCTCTCAGGGCCTCCGTAGTTTCTATGTTTTTATCCATGTCATGCAAATAGAGCAACTTCAGTGAGAGGGAGCAAAGATAAACAACAGTATTCTAATAGGAATACTTTGGCATACACTTTCTTACTGAGAGATGTATACCACTCTTGAGTCTGTAAGGTAAATGTCAGGCTACAGCCAGCAGCTGGTTAGCTTAGCTGAGCATCTGTCGCCGCTTTTTCCAGTCCGCTCTGAAGGCTGATCTTTTCAAAGTTAATAAAATCCACCTACCAGCATGTCTAACACTCATTAATTACCATGTTGAATCTTGTTTGTTTAATTTCAACACAAACTGAAATGTAAAAACAACAAGCATCTCGCTGTTTCCACCTGTTTCCAGACTTTGTGCTAAGCTAAGCTAACTGGTGGTAGCTTCATATTTAATAGACAGATGAGAGTACTAGCGGTCTCCTCTTCTAATTCTTGCAAGAAAGCAAATGTTGTCCTATTTCCTAAATACAGTTGAAAGCAATAGTCATTCATCTCATTCATAGATTCAGTTGTTTCTCGCTGTTACACCAGGTTTATATGAGAGAGATGTATTTATATTTATACATGCTACATGCAAGAGTTTGGGGGGTAAAGAAGTCTGCCACCAGGCTGTGTTGGAATCATACTAATGTGCTGCTTACTACACACTCAATATGTATGTAACATATACTGCCTACTAAATTAAAGATTAAGTATGTCATCAACAACGGACTGCTCACACTGTAGTATACTCAAGCAATATGACTATATCAGATGACTGACGGCTGATGTGACCTGGTGTGACATCTCCAAAAACATTGCAGCCAATTTTCAAACAGGTGTTATTTCAACAAAGCCTAACAGGAATTAATTAAATGGAGATTAACTCTTAACAGCACATTACGTGGTTGTGGGCATAAGATGTGTTAAAATTACATGCTGGCAACATGAGAGCAATGCCAGTGGAAAGTCAAAGTCGCAGTTTCGTTGTGAAACAGTTGCAGTTGAGTTAGGTTTAGAGAACAAAAAATAATAGTTAGGAAAAGATCATGGTTTCGGTTAGAATAATTACGTACAAGACGTAAGCGATGTAAATTTTGTACTTTGTGTGGTTACATAAAGTACCTACGTAAAGTACTTGGCATAGTTACCTAAAGCCACCTAACTACACTGACTCCTGTTTTCACATGGGACATGTACTGGGGACTCCTGGTTGAAAGTCCCTGTTTGTTTGATCCATACACTCCTACCTGCCCTGCCTGGACTTTCTTGCTCTTTATACTTAATTTGTGTGTCCACTACAAAAAATCCTCACTGACTTTGCATTGGCATCGCTTTTTGTTGCTAGCAGTGAATTTTAACATATTTTGTGCCCACCACCATGTAATGCATTGTTAAGATTTTGTGTCCATTTCATGTATTTCTTTGAGACAAGGCTGGTTACGCCAATAAGCTCACTATGTATTGGGAATCTAAAGTTACTTTTGCATTCAAAAAAATATGAAAACATTATAAAGTGACATATTAATAGGGTAAGCCTGGTTTTACATCTCCTCTGCTGCCGGCTGTTGCGCCATCTGAAGAAACTTGTGTATGCCCGGTAAGCTCATGTCTCACACTCAGGAATTCTTGCTAATGCAGTATATAGGAGCATTTCTTGCTTACACAAAATCCACATCATATGCAATGTGAATGCACTACATACTCAATTTTCCATCATACTCAGTATGAATAGGATGTTAGTATGTGATTTTGAACACAGCTTTGGTGTGAATAAAAGCCTGTTCACATGACTTTTCTCTGCTCTGCGCTGAAATGGATTCTGTGGTAAAAAGGGGAGCTGAGCCCTTTGTGAGACACAAAGCGACTGAATGCTAATACTAAATAATGAAGTATTTCATTCTTCATTGTGGACAATGAAGCCCTAGCTCAGCATCAGTGTTTATAGTGGGTCTACTGGTCAGCAGAAATGACTTATCTGAAATAAAGGAGTTTCTCAGCTCTGTCTTATCGCAGAGGAGCAGCAATTTGAAGATTACATCTGCAAGAGAAGGGAAAGGAAAAGACAACGAGTTTGCCTTTACACTCGCCCAATCCGCCGTCAATTACCCAGTGTGGTGACATTGCAGAGGACAAATTCACATTTCTCAGTTATTGTCCTCCGTCTCCTCCTCCTTGTCCTCCTCCTTCCACCATCCTGCTCTGCTGCTGCTAGCCTCCAGTCAGGAGGAAGCGACCATGGATCTGATGTGGCCTGAAGCAAAGGAAAGGTCAGAATCCCTTCCTCTGCCTCAGGATAGCACAGACCTATGCAGCTATTTTCCATAGCTGCTCTGTGTGTGTGTGTGTGTGTGTGTGTGTGTGTGTGCGCGCGCACGCTAATTTTCTCTCTGTCTGTCCTGCCTTCATTTTTTCTCCATCACTCTTTTTCTCTCCCTCTCTCCGTCTCCTTTTTCTCCATCTGGACTTGTGTGCACAGGCATTGCGTTCCACTCCATGACACACCAGAGTCATTTCATTTTGGCAGCACAGTTGGTATCCTGCCGATGTTGAGTCCCATAGGGAGTGGCAGGCAAAGATAACTGGCATTTTGCTGTGCATCCACAGACTGGCCACCCTCGCCAGCATACATACAGCAGAACACTGGAGAGTAAAAGACTTGTTGGGATTTAAAGTATCCCTAAGTCAGACACAGTGGAGAATTTATCTGAATGTTACAACTTTTCTTGGGGATGAGATGTCAGCACAATGCATCAGTGAGTCAAATGGGACCTCTGCTAACTTTGACTCCGACCACATTGTACTGTTTTCAGTGGGTCTGCCAGAGTGGATTGGATGTCATGCATTTGTATTAGCAAACAGGCCTATTAGATCACTGCCAGTTCAGTGCCATATATGATAAAAGATCCCTTAGGCAGTCAGCTAGGAAAAAAAAAAACAGCTATGCAATCTTATTTTTTTGTTGCAGAATACTTAATAAATGACTCTAGAGTTTTCCTGCATTTGAATACAAGTGAAGGGTCAATCTGCCTCAAAGGGCTGGTAGTCTGAAAAATTTAATTAGTCAGTGGAGAGTTTTAGTATCCCATGATGCTGCTTCAGAGGCTTTTCCCCTTGCCATGAATGCAGTTCTCAGAGAGACAATGTACAGTAATAATTGAGATTAAAAACCTTCAAATCAAAAATGACAAATGTTTGTTTCAGTCTCTATAGTTCCTGGTTTATTGTACTTTTACAGTATTAATAATAAGAAAAGTTTGTGCTTGCATTTGAGTCTAAGCCTACAAAGAAGTAGTGTTGGGTTAGTACTGTATAGCCAGCATGAACAGTCCCGTCCATAGAAATAAAATGAATAGAAAGGACACTGGAGTGTTTGCAGTGATCGTGTGATTAGTTTAACAGAAAATGATTGTTGTTAGTTGTTATGGTGACAACATTTCAGTGGAGCTGTAAAGTGTGTCACACACTCACTAGTCTGAGAACGTGTTTTAGCCTACTATACACACTAAGACAGCCTTTTCACATAATGAAAAGAATTTGATGACTTACAAATAGAAATATGAAGCAATTAAATCCACAATTCCTCTTCAGCTGCAAGGCAATGGAGGTGCATACAAAAGATGCATATACATATGTCATGTAACATATGTCACCAGGGTAGAATGCTACACATAGCCTGCTAGCACATTATGTTGTTATTAAATTAACTCAGTGGACTTTTGATTTCACACAGGAGATAACAGTGATCTCCTGTGTGAAAGTCCAGAGTTTGTTTGGCCCATCTGCCTCTCCTCACATCTACCGTATTCTGATTTTCATGCTCTTTATACTATGGCAGTTGCTTGGAGCGTTGAATATGGTGCTAATCGGTGCGTCTCATACCGCTGATAAAGGGTGCCTCAGTACACTGGCATTTGATGCTGAGGGCCACTGACCAAGTGTTGGTATTTGACAAGTTGGGAGAAGACCGGGTTGGCAAAACCTCACCTCACCTCCTTTGTTTATTTGGAAGTTTTATGGAGTAGCAAATTTGCAGTGGCAATGGTGCACATAAAAATGGTTACCACTCTCACCTTCCTGCAATGTTGAATGGTAAAGTCTGTTCTACTCTCATTCTATTTCTATGGTCCCATCATATAAAAACTCTGGCAAAACAAAAAGTAGCAGATGCTCTTCAGTAGCAAAAGTAGAAATGTTTATTTCATAAGCAAAAAGTATAAAAGAATTGGAATAAAAACAAAAAGTTTTCGGTCACAGGACTATCATCAGCACAACTTAGAAATTAATTCATTTGGGTTGCCTTGGTGTTCGACTGGTTGAGGCATGTGCCACATTATCGCAACTTCCTGGGTTTAATTCCAGCTTTGAGATCTTTGATATATGTGATTCCCATCCATCTCTGCCCCCTGTTTCCAGTCATGGAGTCCATGAGGACTCTTGCAAAAAAGACTGTGGTTCTTCTGCTGAGAAGGGGGCTAGCAGCTTACGGTGCTAACTCCTAAAAACAGCACTGAATAACAAGTGCTGACAGAGCTCAGTGGTAACCACCTTATGAGTGCAATGTAGAGTGCATCGAACCGGATTACCAAAACAAACCACAGACCCAACTGTCTACCAACATCATTAGGTGTTGATATTTGGTTGAATTTAGTTTGTGACTTTGGGGGACCAAAATTTAAAGTCAGGACAATGCCAGTGTCAATTTGACATAAAATACTGATGACAGATGATGTTGTTATTTTGTTGGTTTTAAGTTGTGATGTTAAGTAACCAAAATCCAACATCCCCAAACATCTCCTCCAAACATCGTCTTGATGTAACATTTAGTATCTTCAAAATTTCACAATGTTAACATCCACACAACACAAATTTCTAACATTGTTAGACATTTAAAATATAGTCAACCCGATTTTCATTCCAAGCAAAATGTTGTGTCTGTCTGACATAACAGACCAACATCTTCCTGATGTCATGCCAACGTTGGGTTCCAGCTGGGGAGAAGCTCAGATTACAACACACACAGAGCTAGAGTGATGTTACTCTCTGCTCAGGACGCCATTACTTCACTACATGTTTACATAGCAAATAGTGGTTTGCTGCTGCATTAATGTTCTGAAAGTCACATACAGAACCTTTAAAAAAATAAATTAATCCATTGTGGAGACTTAAAAAGGCTGCAGTATCACTTATGGCAGATCAGGGACAGATGGTGAGGCAGGAAGTGTTATCTGTGAACTCATCAGCTACTTTCGTGGTGTCAAGAAGGTCTACTAATGTAACTACATAGACAATAAATGTGTATGTATACACACTTATATGTATGTATAGAGGCAAAGACAGTTTACAGTAAACAAATGCATTACATAAACTGATTTTTTCCCTCTACTGTACGTCTTACTTTTTCATACTGCACCGTTCACAACTTACAGTTTAGTGAGTCACGTTGAGGTTGCTTTGCTGTCTGCCCACAGATGCCTATCCTAAAACAGAAATGATCTATACTTGGACCAAAGGGCCTCAGCATTCAGTCGAGGTCCCTCCTGAGTCCTCCAGCCTCGTTCAGTATGATCTCATCGGCCAGACGGTCTCCAGTGAAACCATTAAATCCATCACAGGTGAGACTTGCTTGTCCTTTCAGTGTTTTGAGTAAAGTGACTGCAGGGGTTGATGTTTCTTTCTTTTACAAATTGATTGTTAAAAAATACAGTGTCAAATCTTTTATTGAAAGATGCTCAGCCATCTGTGTGTATTGTACTCTGTCAAACCTGGTAGATCTACACTGTATTTTCCACATGACTGACAGGACTAATACTGTACAAATGCTGCACAGTTGGTAGATATTGATATTTGGAGCTTTGTCACTCCATTGGAACGTGATCAGCAGACAGCAGCCTCTTGGAATCAAACCCTGTAAACATCATGAGTTGAGGCATTTCAGAGGGCCTCTCAGTTCACTTCAATAGGGTTCTGAAAAAGATGATAGAAGCAGGAAGTTGAGTTTCATGTGTCAATTCTGTTACAATATAGAGGACAACGACAAAATGATCAAATAGAATCAAATGTGACATCTGTCTAAAGCTGCATTAAGTGAAATCTGTCAGCCTGCGACTTTTAATTCTTTGTTAATCAAACTAATTCATTTCTGTTCATCCTTCAGGTGAATATGTGGTGATGACGGTCTACTTCCACTTGAAACGTAAAATGGGCTACTTCATGATTCAGACGTATATCCCCTGCATAATGACAGTAATCCTCTCCCAAGTGTCCTTCTGGATAAATAAAGAATCAGTCCCGGCACGCACAGTCTTCGGTATGTAAACCTCACACATCCCTCATCCCGCACAGCCTCTCTGCTCACTGTTTATTTACTCAATGCCTGCATGTGTCTCTCTCCACTCTGTACAACAAGGTGATGTTACAATGTGAGGTGACTATGAGGAATATAAAGAGCTACTGTTTTTTTTTTTATCCTTAGATTGCCTCATGAAATGCAAATTCACTGCTATTAGTTTAAAGACTGGTTTGAAATGCTAGAATGAACAGCTGACAGCATTAGGAGAAATCATTTTGCTGCATCTTCCAAGCAAAGATGCCTCAAGCAAAGACCAGCAATGTGAGTCTTCGAAAATGGTTCTGGCTAAAACAGTGGATGATACAAAATCTTCTCAGGATGTAAAATAAATACCCATCTAAATGGGTTGAGACTGTTATAAACATTATGGGGAGAGATTCCCTGTGAGAGTATTAAAAGTATTTGTTATAGGCAAGATGCCCCAGGAGGTAATTTAGATTTTAGGTATCTACAGATTTATAATTTTACATTAAGAATACCATCTCATCAGGAGCAGTTAATTGAAAAAGCTTTCTGCTACTTTAATGAGGTTCAGCTTTAAAGGGTTTAGGCCTCAAACAAAACAAAAATTAAATGTGACATTTCATTTCTATTACCATCTCTACAATTTAAAGAGAGGCCTGCTGAAAAATAATGGTTTATTCTTCACTACTCTTTTCTTTCTGATTTGAATACCAAATGTAGTTAACAGCAGCATTGGGAAATAATGCATTACAATGATGTGATTTTTTTCAGGAACCAGTAGTTTAAGCAGGGCTGGGTTGTAACAGATAACATGTAATCTGGATTTCATATTTAGAATAATAAGTACCTATAGTTGGAAAACATTTTGATTACATCTTTGAAATATGGCAATTTTAAAATGACAAAACTTTTTTTCATTATAACCAAAGCTCTATTAACTCATGAAAAACATGTCTGACATACAAGGTGTTGTAGAACACATACGGTAAATTTGTTATAGTGCCAGTACTGTTTTTGTAAGGGTTATTCGATTTGACCAACTATAAATGCTGAATGCAAAATGCATTTTATTACCAGCTGGGACAACGTCACCACGGCTGCTATTGTTTACAATGCATGTGTGTGTGTGTGTGTGTGTGTGTGTGATCCTGGCAAAATGTGGTCCTGGTGACACCAGATGTAGCACCAACTACCACAAAGGCTGTTTTGAGCATTTTGCCAGGTGTTCATATGTCTGTCTTTTTGTCTCTCTGCCTGTGGACAGATTTTGCAAACGCAATAACGTTACAGCCACCCAAGAGTCACAAAACAGTACAGATGTTTAGACGAGATCAAAATGAAGGCAGAGATTGAAGATGGGCACGGTCTGAGCTTGGGGGCTAGAAGGCTAGAAGTCGGAGCATAGGAGGAAGAGAAAAGGCCACTGTCCCCTCAACTTTATGCCCCTGGCTTAGGAAACTTTACGAGCGTGTAGTGGAGATCACAATGAAGGCTGAGTTTTAAGATGGGTGCGGTCAAGCAAGGGCACAGCAAGCAGAGGAGTAGAAAGTAGGGAAGGGATCATTGCACACCCATTTTACACCCCTGGCTGAAATTCGCTTTAAATCGCGGATTGCTGTGTTGCGGCTGGTGTGATTCCACCACAAGATGGGCTTTTAGTTTGCAATGCGATGTTTTGAGATAAATTCAAATTTAGGAAAAAGTCATTTTTTTAGTACAAGGTGAAGTGTTTGATTGTGAATTAATCTAAAAGATTACTTAGTTGGTACGTGTTTAGTTAAATCTTAAATGACACATGTAGAATAAAGTGATTTTGGTGAAATATTACTATTTTGAGCTCAGATTAGGATATGTGTTTTTTTATGACGGAAGTGTTCGTCCCACAAAATGTGTTCAAGGACTGTTGGATATTCAAAATTCCAACGATAATTCCTGGTTTTACAGTTTCTGGCTGTGATAAAAAATGTGTAATTTTGGTGATTTTTAAAGAAAACATGTCTATCCAAAACTGCCAATGGGTTTAGAAGGCATGCTTTCTGTAAAAACCGTTGGTAAAATAACTGCAAATTACAGACATTTCAATTTTTATGCCCCTCACCTAAGCCAAAATATAAAACACAAGTCCCTCCCCAGTGCTTATAAAATTATTTGACATGCCTCTCCTCTTGCACCACCCCCTCCCCCTTATAAATGACAAACTGTTCCTTACCTCAAAATCTGTTGTACAGAGATTCAAAACAAAAGCAGGTAAAATGGACATTAATAATTGATGTAGGCAACTCGTAGACATTGACTTTTCAAACCAGGGATTTCTAGTCTCCAACTGATCTTTATAGTCATTGCAGTGCTACTCTATACTGTTGTTACAATACAAATGACGAGTATGATGTCACATGTTACATTATTTGCCATTTTATCATTTTATCATTCATTTGTAAATGTTATTGCAGGAGCCATCATTCCTACATCATCAGTAACTTTCAGTTTTTGGCCTGTGACCCAGTTGCACTCTCCCTGATTCCCATGGTACAGAGTTTGGGTCCCTGTCCTAGAATAGACTGATTAGTGTGTGTCGATAGAGAGGCACGACGACAAACAGAGCTGCTAAAAGTAGACCATTGTTGCTGGGTGTTGTTGTTTTATTATTAAGGGACGTCTCAGTCTGGTAGTTTGTCGACCACGTTCCTCCACTTATGTTGATGGAAAGTCATTCAATGATAATGGCGCTGACTCTTGTCCTCCATTTTGAAAGTAGTTCTGATAGATTATGTTTTGGAGCATCATTTTCAAGAGGTAATTTTAACTTGAGTAATGAGGGAGAAAGAAAAACATGAGTGTTGTGACAGTTTTGATGCTAGAAGTGGAGTTACAGCATGAAAGTGGACTCTTAGTGAAACATAATCTTTTGTTGTTTAGTTTGAATGTAGTGTTAAATTAGTTTATTTAAAGTTTAAACACATCACTTTCTAATAAGGTACCCTTTATATAAGAATGTAATGGGCTGTAGAGGATCTGCACCAAATTCTATCAGTTAACTTATTAATTATTTATTAGTGGCTAACTAACATGTGTAACTGCATTATTACAGCTCAAAATTACTTTTTATTACTGGCCTTTATCTGATTTGTAAAGCATTAATAAATGACTTACAAACTATTAATAAGAAGTTGGTGGTGATTCTCAGTCATCCAGATCATGGTAATGCTAAGTGCCATATCGTAGGCAACTTGACTTGCCTGAGTGACATTTCACCTCCCATCCAAGAGGCTTCTTCAGTTCTTACTGACTGGTGTGGAGTTGCAGGGGCCTGCAAACTGAAGAAGCCTCTTAGATGAGAGGTGACAAAGAAACTCAAGCAAGTCCATCTGCCTATGATATATCACTTAGCATTAATGTAGAGTATTAAAGAATTATCCCTTCCTAAGTCCCGCCCCTTTTCGCTCTGAGCTCCAGTAACAGTTGAGCAAGTTTGGAACACAGCAGAACATCTGTCAAGTTTCCTACTTCCTGTTATAGTTAGATATGATGTGCAAGATTTATCTGTGCTGAAAAGAAACAACTTTTAAAGATGATTAACAAAAATTGTCTGGCGGACTGTTACAATCTCCATGGACACTTTACATTGCATACATTCATTCATTAATTTTCCACAACCGCTTATCCTGTTGGGGGTCGCAGGGCGCTGGAGCCTATCTCAGCTGACATTGGGCGAAAGGTGGGATACACCCTGGACAGGTCACCAGACTATCACAGGGCTGACACATAGAGACAGACAACCATTCACACTCACATTTACACCTATGGCTAATTTAGAGTCACCAATTAACCTAACCTGCATGTCTATGGACTGTGGGAGGATCCCACAGGAAAACTGTGGAAAACTGTACCTGGAGAAAACCCACACTGACACAGGGAGAACATACAAACTCCACCCTGAGGTTTGTACCAGGAAACTTCTTGCTGCTCTTGAGGCAACAATCAAATGACCACTGCACCACTGTGTCACCACATTGTATATAAGCAAAATACTGGCTAACTAGCTAGCTAATGTAGGCCTATACCTGCATCAAGAGCAAATGGGCTAATGTCAGATCAATAATATCAGCTAGGTTTGCTGCATCCTTATTTCTGTGGTAATATTAAAGAGATTTGGATAAAGACAAGTTGGTTGGTTGGTTTTTACATTGCATGAATTTTTGTTGGCTATAAAAGTTCATGGCTAACATCCTTTGATCAGATTATAGTAATGAACAAAATGTTGCACGGTAAAGAGAAACTAATGTTAGGTCAGCACCATGCTGTATTCAGTAATAATTACATAGAGTACTTTTCTGATCCCCAGAGGGGGAAATGGAGACGCATGGGGGAGCAGGGTTGACTTATAGTCTCATCATCCTTGGTTTCTATCCTCCCTTTTTAGTTGAGACCAGAAACCTTAATTTACGTTGTTTTGCCTTGTTCATACTGCACCCTTTGTCCTTGCAGTAGGCTTCTTTAAGTTGTATTGCCCAGAAACTATGTAATCAACACTGCAGTGCCTGGCTGAATGGAGCCAATGTCGCCATGTCTCTTTTTGTCAAGCTTGTCCAATTTAGCAACAGTAAATAAAGGGAGCAGGACGGAGGATCAGTCATTTACAGCTTATAAACCATTTATAATGGATGCATTTTTTGTATTCTCCAGTAGAGGTGTCATGGATAAAAAATTAGGTCATTTTATTTCCATTGTGGAGCATAAAACTCCACCACATTTCACTCCTAAAACTCATGGATGGATGGACAGATGAAACCCCCCAAAAAGAATCTAATATTGGAGATATTGTCTGTTTTTAATCCACACATTCTTTTTCCTTGTCAAAATCTGGTTACCCACGATGCAACAACTGCTGCCAGTTGTGCGATATGCTAGTAGTGGCTGAAGCTGCTAGCAGAGATGAGGAGCAGGCCCTATGCTGCGTTCACACTATGAACGACAACAAATCATGTTTTTGTTTC